ATACATTGTGTGTGAATGGGTGGATGACTGGATATGTAAAGCGCTTTGGGGTCCTTAGGGACTAGTAAAGCGCTATATAAATACAGGCCATTTACCATAAATACATTAATAATATGTTCTGATTCTGATGATTGATTCTGATTCATCAGAGTATGAATGTGTGTGAATGTTAGATAGGAAGCACTTAGATATAGAAAAACATGCTTGTGTGAATAGGTGTAATTGGGTGAATGAGCCATGTTGTATAAAGTGCTTGAGCAGAAAATTGCTATATAAGAACCAGTCCATTTACTATTTACCATTTTCGACAGGCCTTAATCATTTGGCTAAGCCTGGGTCGAGTCTACACATTGCGCAGTTTTTATCTTTTCCTGTTGTCAAACAGTGCGTGTGATTTTTACATAGTGGCGGCCTGTGTCTTACACACACTGATGATTTAATTTGGATTGTGCTTTACTTCAGATAACTTTGGTGCAATTCTTAGGCTAAATATAATAGTTTGGTTAGGTTGGGTTGCCGTGGGAAACCTTCTGAAATGTTGCAGCCCTGGGAGTAAGGGGTGTGTGTGTGCATGTGTGCGAGCACACATAAGGTTATTCACTAGAGGACATTGTTAAGATGCATTGCTGTGCTGGCTGCACTGAGTCACTATTCAGTCCTAATTGAAAGTGGGCTGAAAGCAGCAGTGTGTCTGGTGATGGGTATCTGACTCATGTCTCTTGTATATGCTGTGTTTTTCAGCAGCTCCTATAAGGACGACATCCGTCTAAAACTCTGGGGATTAAATGAAGAGTTAAGGCAGTGCAAATCGTTAAAAGCTGGTATATTATGCAGCAGCCGTAGAGCAAGCAGCTTCATTCTTTACCACCTGATCTGAAAGATCAGACAGTGTTACAGTGAGAAATTCATTATGGACTTAGTCATTAAGTCCATTAAGGTGAATGCAGATTTGCTCCATGTTAACTGCATGTATTGTATTGTATTATGTTTTTGAGTTAGATCTCACTGTAGATTGTAGGTACTTTAAATAAAATAAAATAAAAAAGTAATCTTGGCCTGTTCTCCACAGACTTGCTTTTCAGTCTTAATCTAGGAAACAAGGGAAGAGGAAGAGAGAAGGAAACTATGAGTCCCAAAGGACATTGACCAGCATCTAATGGATGATGTTGTAGTTACTCTTGTATAATATGTTTCTCATTAGTTTTTGTTTTTAGTACACCAAATTGGACACGTTCTATATTTCTCAAACACATCATGGACATTTCTGTACTGATGTACATGGATACTGTGGCTAACAGTAATTATACTTTGCGTTATGGCCTTTTTCCATACACAGTATGAGTAGAAAGGAATAGAAGTTTTGAAGTTGTACTGATTGTACTGGTTTTGTAGACAAAGGAATATGATATTTGGATTGTATATCGATCTGATCTTGACTAGTGTGATGGTGACAACAGCTTATCTATTGAACCATCTATTTAATTCAGTCCTCTGCTGGCTAAGCCAAAAGTCATCAGTAGTTATTAATAGGTAATCTGATCTTTCATTGAGAAAACTAACAGGTGGTATTTCAGAGTAACAGTACCAGCAGCTTTATTTTAATCTTTGCCCTACTGTAGTTTGTGGCTTTACTGTGGTCAACTGGCTCAACTGAAGCGTTCAGATGGCTTTGTTTTCTTTTTTGACAGCTCCTTTCGCTCTGTGGCACTGTCTCGTAGGTTCTAACAGTTGTATCACTTATTGGGAGTTTTCATTGCTCTCACTGTAGCATAGTGTCTGTTGATCAACTCGATTGATAGAATTTCACTTCACCTCTTTCTTGTCAGTTTCAGTCCACATGCGATGCAAATGTGTATGTGTGTGTGTAGTTGTATTATCAGTAAGACTGAAAGCAGAAAAAGGAGAAACTGGGACAACTTTAGTAGTGATTTTAAGCTGAAATGAGACTAGAGCAAAAAAA